CCCCCTTGCTTCTTCGCTTGTTGCTTCCTCATTAGCGAGTGATCTCGTAAATGAGTTGAGCCTTTTCTATTGTACCTGTGCCTCTTCCGTTCATCCGTCCAATTTTTTGCTTCCGTATAACCACAATCCATATGACCCCACTTTTCAAAACCTCCCTAAGGGACAGATAGCGTCTTTTCGGCGTTTACGAGGTCCCTGATCTTTTTGTCGTGAATGCTGACAGATCCTTTACCTCCTATTCATGCTCGCTCTTGCCTTGAATTGGGTGCCGCCTGATCATATCAAATCCCGTACAATGTGCCAATTCACCGGACTACAATTGGCTTGACGACTCCTGGCTGGAACGCTCGTATCATTGGCTTATCCTCAACATCTTCTGGGGCTGGGATTCTGTCGATTGATCGCGATTGGATATATAGGATACGTCGAATAATTACATTTACCGCTATATCTTGGTCGACCTTCCTAATTCGACAAAATCCGCCTCTCGGATATTTATCAGACGGTTGGCCGGTGTAGACGAACACGAAGGAGTGATGAGATTCTCCTGATGCCGTATTCCAATCGTTGTTGTGCATCATTGGGATGATTGAAACAGAGGAACCAGATTAGGGGCAATTGGATTCAATGTGTGTATGGGCCATTCAACCATTGACATGTGGAAGAACTTGGATGGGATACGATAGGTGGACCAGAGCAGAGACATGGGCCCAACCGCCGTGTGAGAAGGATACGTAAGACCCACGCGATGGACCAGCATTTTGGGATACGATGGGTTTCACTCGGCGGACTGGACACTCCTCCCAGTTTCTTTCATCTGGTTCACATCGTCAATGGGGCTTGCGCCGCAAGTAGCCATTGCTATGCATTCGCTCGTCTCCACTCATCAATTCGACAAATCTACGTTTCGCATCTGCTTTTGTATAATTTGACCACCCCTCTTGCTGCTTCTTTGAATACACTGTTCTTTCTTGATCACATACCAGTTGTAGATGACATTTGAGGTGGTGGCAAGACCGAGGTTTTTATGGGTATTTTGTGCGTCTGACTGAGTTGAGTTTTGGACGAGTGCCTCGTGGCCGAAGTGCGTCTTCCTGGCTTTGACCTGCCCTCTCCAACCATAAACCGACCAACAAGTCAGTCTCGACGAATAAGACAGTCAAAAAACGCATGAACACAAACTAAAACGCACACTTTCTCAATTGTTGTTGTTGTTTAAAAGAGCTATACTTAAACGCCCTTCCAAGCTGACCCGTTCCCCAACTCCCTCTCTTCGAGTTCATTATTTGCTTTTTGATCGCGGGTATACGACGCACGACGACGCACCCTACTGCTCAAACCGTTTGCCAAGTTGACCACCGGACCTAACGAGCACCTAGCCACCTGTCGTCGGTTGAAGCGATATCCTGCTAGGCAAACCGCTGTTTTCTGTTTGTCGATTTAACTCTTATTTCGACTGTATCCATCACCCAAGTTGTTTAACACCTCATCCAGCGATAAAGGTGGGTTTCTCTCTCCAAAACGCCCATGTTCATTAGGCGCGCCACCCTCGACCAGCCCTTGCCAGCGCCACCTCCATTCTCTGACCGTCTCACAAAAAAAAACAAGTTTTAATAATCTTGCTAATTTTCCGTAGGTTTATTCTTAAAACCAAAATACGACAGTGCACGAAACTCGACGCAGCGTACGACATCATGCATTCAGTTGCCCAACGAATGGACTTTCCCCATCATCACGCCCACAACCACGCCGCTCACCACCATCATGGAAATAACCCTCGCAGGCACAACACGACTACAGTTCTTGATACTCAAGGGCTTAACGATATGAACGGACCCACCCACATTCGTGTCAACTCGCTCTCATCCAAGGGATCGCTCTCGGATTATTCGACCATTCTTCGCACGCCACAAGACTCTGTTCAGTCCGAAAATGACGCTTTAATCGTCAAACAAGCTGATGAAAACACCTCTGGCAGCGGGGCATGGAAACCATCTATGACTCTCGTGAAGGAAACCCTTACCTCATCCCCCTTGCTTCTTCGCTTGTTGCTTCCTCATTAGCGAGTGATCTCGTAAATGAGTTGAGCCTTTTCTATTGTACCT